GAAATATCTGAACAATGGTATGAAAATACATGCATGTTTTGTTGATTATTCTAAAGCTTTTGACAGTGTGATGCATTCTGTACTTTTTTATAAACTGAATGAGTGTGGCATTTCGGGGCAATTTTATACAATTATCAAGAGCATGTATCATAAGAATAAAATTCATGTTCGTCTGGGAAACTCACTCAGTCCTCATTTTATTCCAGAAATCGGTTTGAGACAAGGCGATAACCTGAGTCCAAACCTGTTTAAATTGGTTATCAATGATTTAACATCCTGCTTTGGTAATGAAGATGATCCAGTTATGCTTGGTGCCATTCCCCTTAATTGCTTACTATATGCACATGATGTAGTTCTTTTGTCTAGCAGTGAGAAAGGTCTACAAAGTTGTCTTAATAAACTATATTTATTCAGTGAAAGTGTTGGATTGTCTGTAAACCTAAAGAAGACTAATATATTGACATTTAGCAAAAGTGGAAGGCTATCCAGTTTTAAGTATATATATAATAATGTAGAGGTAAATCATGTTTCGAAATATAAATATCTTGGAATCAGAGCTGCATTACTGGTACTGGCACTGGTACTGCAGTATGTACTGCAGCGATTTTGCAAGTACTGGTACTGATACTGAATTACTCTTACAAAATTTTGCTACTACTGGTACTGGTACTGCATTACTGTCTTAAAAAGTGGTACTGCTACTGCATTACCCAGTACTTTTGGTTTTGATAAAAATAACATCATTTTTTCTCATAAAATAAAGCTGTAAATTACATTAACTATATTTTATTTTTGTGAAAAAGTAAGTTATCAAATCTAAAGATAATTTGCTGCAATATTCCTTCAAATGTTAACATAGTATTCATCATAAAAAGCACCAAAGACTTTAAGTAAAAATTAAATTAAGATAAACAGACTCAATAACTCTTTACCCCAAAATATCCTTATTAAAATCTTTTATAACTTTGTATTTACTAGTAAAAGAGCAAAATAAACACTAATTAATTTCTTCTATTCTAAAAAATCCCATTTCAAGTTAGCACCATAAAAAGTTGTTATTTACTTTGGTATAAATTGAACAGAGGTGTGAAGGTGTGAAAGGCAACAAAAGACTGTTGTGTTTTAAATGAAAGATGTTTGCATTGTATTTATACAGTTGACTAGTTACTAAACAATTAGATATGACATGAATATATGTTGTTAATATTGTTTGTAAAAAGTATGTTAAAACTATAAAGTTGTTAATATGTTATGTTAACTTTAAAGCAGAACGCCTCCAGATTCATCCTTATTTTCATGAAAATTTTGAAAATGTATTTAAAGGTAAAATATTGTTAAATGAACAAAGAAAGTACTTGACACATTACAATCGGCACTTAAAATCCCCGTAAATTACCAAAAAGAGGTCAAAACATGCATAAATAGCGTTAGTAACGCAGTAGAAATATGGTGATAAATACTACAAAATACAGTCATTCATTGAACATAAGATATAAATTATCACTTGAATCTTTAATTTGTTTACTTTTCTCAAAGTTTTAGCATTTTTTTTCCAAGTTTAATTTTCTTGAAATATTTTGGGTCATCAGGAGGCATGCAGTTTTGAAGTAAATTATGATTTTATTTCTTTGCTGAATAATATTTGCAATTATTTGTTTGACACTGTATTTATTCGAACTTTGATGAATATATAAAAGTAATGGTACTGATACTTAATTACTTCACCAAAAAAAGTACTGGTACTGCAGTACCGAGCTAAAATCTAGTACTGGTACTGGTAATGGTACTGCATAATTTGCCAAGTACTGGTACTGGTACTTAAGTACTACACCCTTAGTACTGATGCAGCTCTGCTTGGAATACTATTTTCATCTTCGGGTAGTTTTACTGAGTGCAAAAAAGATTTGTATAAAAGGGCATTAAAAGCAAATTTTAAATTAGGCAAAGCTTTCAGTAATTTGAATACTTATGTTCATACCTCATTGCATTTGTTTGACCATACTGTTAAACCGGTACTACTTTATGCTAGTGAAATCTGGGGTACTTTGAATACAACAACCAGTCGAGTTAATAAAGAGGGTTTTTGTCTATTTCAATGCTTTAATGACATGCCATGTGAAAAATTACATACAAAATTCCTAAAACATGTGTTAGGGGTTCACAAAAAAGCATGCAATGATGCTGTTTTAGGTGAATTAGGGAGATTTCCTTTATATTTTGATTGCATAATCAGTTGTATTAAGTATTATACAAGGTTAACCAAATCTCCAATTAGTGAACTTTTAAAAAATGTTTATGTTGCAAGTGAAAATTTGTACAATTGTAAAAAAAACAGTTGGTTATCCAATGTATTCTTTATATTAAAATATTTTAAAATACCTGAAAGTCAATATAGTGATAAGAATCTGTATGTTGTTGTTCGAAAACAACTGTTGAGCACTTTTAAAATTCGATTTATGGATAAATTAAAAAATGCTGTTGATAATGATGGAAAACTACGTACTTATGCACTGTTTAAAACAAATTTTTGTAGGGAACCTTATTTAGCAGTAATCAAAGATAAAAATATTAGAGCTTGTTTTACAAAGTTAAGGATAAGTTCTCACAAATTACAAATAGAGATTGGAAGATATAAAAAAATCAAGTCTGATAAAAGAGTTTGCGAAGTTTGCAACTCAAATGAAGTTTGAAGACGAGCTACATTTTGTTACTGCTTGCAATGCTTTTACTAGTCAACGCAGCATTTGTATATAGTGAAATAAAAGATAAGAATTTAAACTTTGAAAAAATGTCTGAAATAAGCAAATTCATTTGGTTAATGAGCAACGAAGATGAAAAATCATAAAAAACAATTTGTAGATTTTATTTTTACTTGTTTTAAACTCAGAAATGGTAATGAGAAAACATAAATTAATTTGACTTGGTATATACGTATGTATATATATATATATATATATATAATTATATATAATATTTTTTTTTTTTTTTTTTTTTTTTTTTTGAGAGAGAGACATGTGTATTGTACAATTTTGTTACAAAACAGGTATATGCTATCTGTTTGTGTAAATTAATGTTATTCGAAGAATAAAAACAAAATGTAATTTTCAATTCATATATATTATGTAGTTATGATGTTTAATTATAGTTCGCGAAACCCTGTCATTTGCTGTGTTTTGTTTGTTTTGTTTTTGTTTTTTTCTTTAAGTTTATTGTTGTTACTATAATACGAATCAAGTTTTAGTTTCTTTAACGTCTTTATTTGATCTTTGATCTCATTATTATTATTGTGATTCACATGTCATTTAACATGACCCTATTGGAAATAGAATTTATTCTATTCTATTCTATAACAATGTGAGCTTTGTAATTATATGAATTTTGGCCTACTTTCACTTTGGACAGAGTTGTGAACACAAACATGGCTGACAAAGCGGTATCACCTTAATGAGGGTCCATCCAAAATGCAGCTTTCGCTGTCGAGTACGGACCTCCGAACATACGACAAGTCATACCAATATTTCACAAGTGGTATGGTGTACAAAGACGTTAATGAAATGTTACTTTATATACTAAAGTTTAATTATTTCAAAACAACCAATATATCAACATGTTATTATTAAACATTTAATTTCATAAATATAAATTAAAAATAATTATCAAAAGCAAAATTGTTAAAATCTTATGCCTGAAATCTTGTTTATATTGACAAATTCAATCACAAATAGTATACTTGATATGCTGTGAGTAAATGTATTTCAAATGTAACAAATTATGATTTCATGTACTACTAAAAAGGGAAATAACAAATCAGAACATTTATAGCTATTTTTAGCTTTCGAATTTATGTAACAGCAGAACTGCTTTCCGGTTCTCATTCATTAATATGACATGTGCGAATCACCGACGGGGAAACCAATAAGAAATCGAAAGGAGTTCTTAAATGCGGTTTTACTTTTAGCTGAAAACAAAAGGTTTTATGCCAAATCGGGCCCGGGACAAAAAAAAAAAAACCAAATAGCCCCCGGCCCCTGTGGGGGGGAAAATAACGAAAAATTTTACTGTTGCTTATAAAATTTAAAAATTAAAACTAGTTTTCGAAATAAACAGTATTTTCACATGGAACCCCTTATGCATGTCTTGGGATTAATTGGGGGTCCTTTTTCCCAAAGGGCCCAAAAATTCGGCATATTTAATGCCCTTTTAAAAATTAATTCTTTTTTGCACTTTGAGGTTTTTCTTTTTTACAGCATTCGGCAAATTTCCCTTTCCAGACCCTGTTCAAATGCTTTCACCCTTTTATTTTTTAGAAAAATTGGGGCGTCTGCCGCGGAAGGGTTTTTTAGATTTCAGGGTCAATTTTCTAAAAAAGTGTTTAATTTTAAAAGTCGTTGATCTGCCCCAAAAATACCTCAAATTTAATAATATTTTTACTGGGATTATACCAAAAAGGTTTTTAAAATTGTGGAAAAAAAATTGTAAGGAAAAATAAAAATTAAAAATTTAAATTTAAAAATCTTGCAAAATTAAATCATTCAAAAAAGTTTAAATAAAGAAATCAAAAAACTATAAAAAAGGGGGCCTAACAAAATTTTATAGCATAATTTTCTATTTTATGAGGCAATTAAAACTGAGTAACATAAGTTAAGTTTTTTTGGAGCTCGAAAGTTATTTTTAAAAATTCGGGAATATGTCGTCGATTATTTTGACCTGGAAAACTTCTAAGTATAAAAAAAACATTGTAAACAAAAAAAAACATGTTTCCCTGAAAAATACAGTTTTTACAACTGGACATAAAACATAAATAATCTATTTCATGTAACTCCTATAGTAAAAGAAGGGGCATTTCCGAAATCAGTATTTTACATATTTACTTCTCTAACTCAAGCGGTTATTTTTTGCGGACCATGGTGTATAAACTGTGATAGTTCTATTAAAATTGTTAAATTAGGAACATTAAACAATGTTTAATATAGCATTTATGTATGCCTTTTTCATTACAGTTAAGAAACAACACAATACACATAAGCCAAGGAGACACAGTGTCACTTCTTGAGAACAGAAATAAGGCGTTAACCGAACTTGACGAAAGAACAGCAGAATCATTGCGTAAACTTGATGAGAAAGCATTAGCTGTACGTAATACATTAAAAAAAGATGTTGATGAATTTAAGAATGCCGCTTTAGTTGATGTTGAAAACGTTGGAACATCGGTTAAGCAAACAATTGTGGCAGAGGTTACTGCAGCCGGGGATCAGACATTGCAAGATATTGCTGGGAAGACTACTGAAGGTATATCTAAAATAAACACAGCCGGGGATCAGACATTACAAGACATTGCTGTGAATACTACTGATGGTATATCTAAAATAAACACAGCCGGGGATCAGGCATTACAAGACATTGCTGGAAATACTACTGATGGTATATCTAAAATAAACACAGCCGGGGATCAGGCAATACAAGACATTGCTGGAAATACTACTGACGGTATATCTAAAATAAACACAGCCGGGGATCAGACATTACAAGACATTGCTGGTAATACTACTGATGGTATATCTAAAATAAACACAGCCGGGGATCAGGCATTACAAGACATTGCTGGGAATACTTTTGATGGTATATCTAAAATAAACGTAGCCGGGGATCAGGCAATACAAGACATTGCTGAGAATACTACTGATGGTGTATCTAAAATAAACACAGCCGGGAAAAAGGCATTGCAAGACATATCCGAGGCAAAAACCGATATTGATGGACAGAAAATCCAAGCTATCTCCGATTTTTGTAATGCAAAAGACGATGTTTTATCTGAAATCACCAAGGCTGCTAAAGAAGCAAAAGCAGATGTTTTAATGGGGGCTAGTGCTGCTTCATCTGATATTAGCGGACATGCTGTTTCAAGAAAATCATTTTTCCAAAAAGGCCTTATAAAGCTCAAAAGTGTGTTTAGCTCTTCAAGTCCACAGTCACCCTTAAAGGTTCGTTTACAACACTTCATTATACCTTTTATAACTTACTCAATCAATTATAATGTCTATGTGCCACAATAGCTTCCAGTTACTCTTTTGTGTCTTTGTTTGTTAATTTGTTTGCTTTGGTTATGGTTTTCATCGCACATTAAAGTAGTAGTGATAAAGTGACTTTCGAGCTTGAATAGTGATGGATGACTTCAGGTGCCCTTCCGTGCACTTTAGATAAATCGCTTGTCATTCCTTGATTTTTGGATTTTAGGTCAGAATTTGTTAGTGTATAAATTGTTTCTTTTGATAAGATCGGTGTGAGTAAATCGAAACAAAATCTCAAAGAAATTTATTGTTATCAGATATATCCGGACATACCAATAAAAAATTGAAATATACCCATTTTCAGTCCATGTAAAGTGTTTATTATTTTGCTGAGTTTAAAGATTTTAGGCCATTGTAATTTCATTTTATAACAATATTTTAAAGATTTCATTTATTAAGACTAGTTTTAGATTTTACGAACTTCTTATGTATCAAAAAGGAAACAGTTACATTTTATGTAAGTGGGTCATCTAAGGATAACTTTGTATGTTTATGTCAAAATCAATATTATTGTTGTGTATGAAAACCGGCTGGCGACAAAAGATATACAATGGCATTACAAAAAATACCCTTTTTGTACAATGTACTCTGATGAGCTAAAACGTTATCCCATCATCCAAATAATCTTTGTGTTGTTTTCATCTACTTGGAATTTGGAGAAACAAATCCTATTTAAAATATAGAAAGGAATACTCCTATAACGTAAACGTATACTTTGTTTGTTTTACATCAGTCAAATTTGAGATATGAACTTGAAACATTATAGATCTTAGTCAGGAGGAGTGCCGTTTGCAAGAATAGTATCTGTACCTTTCTTATTTACTTTTTTCTTTTTGTCTGCAATGCTTATTATGTCTCTTTTTATGCTATATATTGTCCAGAGCGTACCTTGAAACGTGTTTAATCTTTCAAGCTATATAGACATGTTTAAGAAAGAGCGCAATGCACAGATATGATAACTGTATCCATCATAATTTTGAGGTAATTACTTTTGATAATTTTTATTCTTTATTTTGTCTTGACTTTAACTCGATAATTATTAGACAAAATCAGTTTGAAAATTTTATAAGATATATACATCTTAATTAGACGGTGTGCTATGCACAAGAATGATAACTCTCCAAACTTTATTTCTTGTATCATAGTTTGGGGAACCTTTTCTGTTGAAAATGTGACAGACTTAAATCGTATAATACATATACATTGCACAGTGCGTTAAACTGGCAGTGCAAGTATTAATTACCCGCACTCTAGAGCATGCCCATCGATTGGTTCATTTTGTCCGCAGTTATACATATTGTGACGACAGAGAAAGGGGGAAAGCGGGTAGAAATTATCGATATTCAGATGCCATCGTTCATTGGTTACTTTTTCGTGGGTTTGATATTGTGGTATCAGGGAACGTGTTTTTATGTTTGACTATGATACAAAAGAGAAAGAACATCAAAAATCTCGGCAACCTGATTTATACTCGGGGGCTACGCCCCTCGTACAAATCAGATAGCCTCGTGTTTCGATGCTCTTTCTATTACTTATTTCCCTAAACCATGCTTATTTTTTGTCAAGAGAACTTTTTAAGATATTTATTTCAAAGTTTTATGAAATGTGCTTTATTCGAGTGTTATAACGTTTAATATTATTTAGTTTTTTCCCTTTTTCATGATGAATAATTGTTAGTAGCATGTCTGGGAATATCAGTTTGAACATTCATATGAAGCTCACTTTTTCATATTTGTTTCATATTCTTATTATTGCTCATGCTATTTTTTTGCTTAATGTTTGGACAAAACACGATTAGTTTTTGTTTTCTCAGGTATGTAATAGTTGAACTATTCATCCGTTAACATAATCCTGCAAGTGGAATATATTATTACGTTCTAGCAGTTCCCAAATTCCAATGGTTTCATTCTTTTTCACACTTTTCAGTTACAAAGTGTTTGATCGTACCCAAGTTATATAATTATTGCTGTCATTGTTTCGAAGTTTAAAAATATCAATCACAGTTCATGCTATAGGCAAGTCATATAACAGTGCTATCCATTTATTACATGTTATTTCCCCTTTTACAAAATATATAGGACCTGGTATGGTTTAACCTATTCCGCGCAAATTGTTTTTATCTTAAATTTCTCCCTAGTAAATTTATTAATTATGATATCTCTCATAATTGGTATTGGTCCCCTAGCTTTAAGTGCAATTTTGGATCACTTGTATCAATGTCCACGTTACTGTTGTAAAGTTAACAATAAATTCCAAACAATTATTCCTCAAGTTTAGGTTGAATTTGGGGACTAGGGTCAATGTCAAATCCTTGCATGTGTGCATACTTGATTCGCTAAATATTTTATCAAATAGCAATGACATGGCCATTTACAAAAGATCATGACCTTTTCAAGTAGTTTTACTGCCTACACTATCTTAACAATTTCCGTTCATAACTAAGTGTATGGGGAATTTGTTTTGAAAAATGTGTTACTGACAAGAATGTAAGCGGACATATCATCATAATATTTATATAATAGATAAAATAAAGTGGATTTATGGCCTTGTTTTTTTGGTCAGTCCTATCAGAATCGATATCAAAAATTTATTATAATTTTCAATGACAATATAATAATTGCTTTACATTTTGAAATATATAGCGCTTAAATAGTTCATCAACCATTATCATAATATCATAATTTTATCTTTCATTCTTTTTACAGGGATCGCCAAGCCGATCAAAGACAGCTTCAAGTAAGTGAATTCATTTTTTATCGTTTTCAATTTTAGAAGGAAGAAAATAGATAAGCCCTTGTCCGTCCGGGCATGCGTCCGTCCTTTCTCATATTATGTCATAACCTCTAAATCTAAAAGTATTTGACCTAAAGTTACGAATCTTGACAGAAAGGTTGATCAGCATGTGTAGCCGGTACGTGGGGATTTGCATGTGGATTTGTTCAGTATTCTAAGAGCTTTTGTGCTTGACTGAGTAAAGGTTGCAATTTACAGCTTGTGTCCTGCTTTCTTAGCAACAAATGAAAGAGAAAATAGCCAAGCTTGGCACAATTGATCTTTGGTGGGCATTGATGATCATAATGCAAATTATTTCGGTTGACGTCAAAACAAGGTCACATGGCATAAAATTGATTTATCAGATGAGCAATGTAGTGTCCTGTGGACCCTTTTGTTTTCTTTTTTGATAGTTATTGAAGTCAAACATCACAATTCCTTGAACATTTGAGTTTGTTTCATAAAGTTCAAATAATGCTTTAGAGCATGCACATAGTAGGGCTGAGTAAGAGAATATATTTCATCAAAGACGCAATACTTTATCAAAGCAGTATTTGCCTGTGTATGTGTTTAAACTATCAAGATGCAACGAAGCAAAAGATGGTTCAGGTAATTGGACTGTGAGTAACGTTTTGGAAACTATATCACGACCTCAAGAAAAATAATATGCTTTTGAGAAAATGAAATAAAAAGCATTTCTGGGACATAATGTGCCTTTTAATGAACTTGAACTGAAGTTTTACATTGTAGCGTGTATTGGGATATCAGCCGGAAATTCCAGTTTTGTTTTTATATTTGTTTTGGTTTTATGGTGTAAACGATATCAATAGCAGATCTGGTGATAACATGAACATGTGATGACAATAACAATAAGCAGATCATAACCACAAAAGGATCAGACGTTCTGAACAATAAACCAATAGTAGAAAAGTTTAGTAGAATATCTCCATGGTACACATGCAAAAGCAGGTAGAAGGCCTTTTACTTTATGGTTGCTCCATGCTGCAAGGCTGAACAATAATAAAAATCCTTGTACGCACTGTTGATACTCGATTGTTGTGTTGTCATAGCTACCAATTAACAAGCCTTGTCAACATATGAAATGTACAAGAGCTATGGATAGCATTTTGCACTGGAACACAATTAATTTAGATATGTCCTGTACATACACTCTGTATCTCTGGTAAGGATATTGTAAGTGGTTTATTGGCATTCCATGCGTTTACTGGATGTAACCAAACTTCATCATTCCCTGGCAAAGGTTAAAAGACAGCATAGGGGACATTAAAAGCATTTAGTGTAGCTGTCGAAGCATTTAACGTTCTTAGTCAAACTCCGTCAGATGACTCTATTGCCACTGTTATTCCAACGTTGGAGCGATTTGTAATACTTTTACGACCGATCAAATGCTGCTTAAAGATTCAACGAAGCGCTAAAAACCTCTTGTCACGAAAAAGGAGATCTATTGATGGAATTCCACCGACACATGCTGCCCTTTTAAAACACACTAGACCAACAGCATACCAAGCTGAGTGCTGCTGGGGACAAGCGCTTTTGCCCTCCCAAGAACTACCTTGTCCAAATAACTAAGGTCATGATAATACTCGGGAGCCATTCTGGACAACACTACAACAGGCATCCGAGTCTTGCCAGGAATTACTGAAGTATAGCTGTAGTCTAGCGATTGGTTGTCGTGAGAGATGCAAATGCTCTTTGTCTGTGTGGTGGAGACTGTGACCGACGGTAAACTTACAGGCGAGGTTCAGGGTCGGTGTAATTTTTGGTTTAGTAAATAGTTAGTAATATTGGTATATCTTTGTTAGTTAAACCTATCAAGTGATACACAATCAAAATAGAAGTAATAAACACATCAATTATACCTTGAAACATAAAAAACACTTTTTGTGCATTTGGCAGCCATTTTGGAAGCATTTTCAAATAAATGCAGCTCTTGAATTTAAATCATATGAGAGGTAAACACTGATTTATATGTGTGAAACATGAAATTAATAAATTTAATAACCCTTTATGGATTTATTGAACATTATTCATATAGCCAGTAATTATTTCATCTGATGGAAGCACTCTTGGCGGCCATCTTGAAAATGGTGGCATTTTGAAAATTGAAGATGGGTTCATAGCAAAAATTAAACAAACTTGGTTCATCAACAACATGACAAGTTTGTAACTTTTATCACAAAGTGAACAATTATTTCACCATATGATTCAACAATAATTAAAGGAATAGTCAAACACAATGCCACTTGCGTCGAGCCTAAAGCGCTTATACGCGAGAATTTGAAAGGCTATTCACTGTGCAGTACAATGAGCAGGAATCCAATAAGAGCACTCATTTCAAGTGTTCAGAACTTTTGACTACTTCAAACACAAACTACAAGGTTGATTGAAATGTTATTCAACGTTTTAGTGTTCTCATTCCAAGTTTTTAGAACTTTAAACTACTTCAAAAACAAACAACCAGTTGATTATTACGCTGGTCAACGTTCTAGTCAGTTTTCTCTTTCCAAGTGTTTGAAGCATTCAACTTCTTCAAAAACAAACCACAAGGTTGATTATAATGTTACTGAGCGTTCTTGTCAGTTTTCTCCCTCCAAGTGCTCAGAACTTTTAATTACCACGAGTTTTATTATAATGTTATTCAACGTCCAAGTCAGGGTTCTCATTCCAAGTGTTCAGATCTTTAAACTACTTCAGACTCTATCCTTTAGGATGATAAAAGTGTAAATAATGAACATTCTTGTTCTATTAATATGAGCTTACTTCGTTAAATTGATTGGTCATCACATGGTTCTAATTGTGATCTAGTTAATATGTTATATGAATCATGATGCAAAGTATTCCAGATAGGTTAAAGGAACAAATTTTATTATTATATAACGATTGTCACATATTACATTTCACATAAACGCGCCCTCAAATTTAATTTCAACCTGCATTTTTTCTTCAAATCGTCCACTATTCTGCTGTCAAATGAAATGGAAAGTTTTAATAGGCTAATTCAATGCGCGTGCCGTAATGGTGGCAATATGTACTCGAAAAAGAATGTGATAAAATTGCGTTTAAATTGCATAATTGAGAGACATAAATTGTAAACAAAAAGCATATTTAAGTGAGAATTCAATGTTTTATTCTGCTTGGAATACGTTTTTACAAATGACAAGCAGCTAAATGTATGTTAACCTGTGGTAATTTTGAAAATTTTGTTGGCACAAAACATGTCGAACTAGCAATTTAAATGTATTTTTTTCACGTTTGATAATCCATTTATCGTAAATGAATATAGATGACTCAATATTTAAAAGGCTACTAAAAGATATGTCTGTTGTGCTATGTTTGCAAGTTTAAGTATGAAAATATGTCTGATATTAAAAAATGTGACAGTAAAATGTTGACTGTGTCGGGTAAACACGCTACGTCGAGTTATATACTTTGTATATATTTTATAACGTAAACGGGTGGTGGATAGTAATTTTGTTCTTGATGACCAAGGGGTGATTATTGTATCATAATTTGATCATTTTTGACAAGGCAAATGTGCCGAACGCCTGTGCCTCGAGGTTGGAGATTCCAGGTTCGAACACCGTTCTCGGTTAATGGTTTGCCTGTCTGACTATATTCATAATTATTTATGTTGCATGATAACCCATGTTTACACTGTGATGATGGTTGCCTCCGCAGTTTAAGACATTACGGATAGTTATTTAGACTTCGATGATCGCAAAGTTATATTAATGTGTATAGATAAATTAAACCCTTTTGTGGATTTCTTAGTGATCCTTTTATGTTTTTCAAAGAATGTCTAAACGTTTATTCGGCATAATTACAAAAAAGCTTGGAACACACTTTTTTGTGTAAAAATGCAAAGATGTATGCCACCAATTATATCAACTGGAAATGGGATTGGTTGTCCCAAATTAATTAAATTAATTTTGTGGGATCTTTAATAAAACAATTACTACGACCTAATTTAACATGTGAGAATATGTATAATCTAAAATGATCAGCACATGTTAGGAAGATCATTGCATTTAATGATTTAAAAATCAAGTACTTGCAGTAAATGCCAATACGATTTCTTTTCGAATGGTACTTCTCACATCAAATACTTTTATATCAAGATATACAATGAACACTTATGAAATGATAATGTTTGTCCATGATTTACTGCATATTTAACCACAATTGCATGTTTAGATGCATATGAAAAAATCTACAAAGGCCAAAATGACAATATAAGGATTGGTGCATTGATGTTAGTATTTCCAAAACGTTTAAGTCACGTAGTTTTCTTCTAGAAAAACGAAAGTATAAGTGTTGCAAATTCTTTGGGTAAAATGACATCGACGTTGTCTGTGTCAGCCAACAGCAAGTTTTATAAACCAAATAAAAGTTCGTCTGTAGTCTGTATGTAGTTTCTGGAATGAATATTCATTTAGCTCAAGTCTGATGCGAAGCTTAGAAATCAAAGATGGCGTCAAAGATGGCCACAAAATCCCTAAATATCCTAAAATATCAATGTTGGCTTATATTTCTTTCGACATGTGTATTTTGAAGTGAAATTTTGCACGGAAGATGTCATTTAAAGCGTTTTATATTATACAGATAAGCTTTATTGGAGAAAACAAATTGTGTTTTTTATACATAAATAAGGGTTCTTACTACGATACACTGTTCAATGTTTAAAGAGAAAAATATGTATTACTTATTCTGTTATTCAGCTAATGCAACTCATGAGAAAAATGCTTTAATGTTTTCATATAATAACTGAACAATTATTGTTTGTAAATCAGTAGAAAGACAAATAAAATAGGAGACGCTACTATAAAATATCCTTAAAATGTAAGGTTGTTACTCGTACTTATTTGTTCTATCAATTATTTACATCTATTAAAAAAACTTCTTAGATGCATCCATGTAACATATTAACACAATTTACAAGGAAT